GGTGGCAGCGACTGCATTAACCAAAATGCGGCAGAGGGGAGAGTGCCGGACTCGAAAGCATGTAATATTTACAAGGGAGGGGTTACTACTGAGTCACACGCCAGCCACTGATACCAGCTAGGGTGCGAGAAAACTACAGAAGCCTATCAACAGGTTGGTTCCTTGGAAGATGAAGCTGACCAGTAGGTGCTTGCTTGTAGCTGCCAGAACTCAAGAGGAACTTCATTCCCAATTATCGCCTTGCGCAGCGCTGGTAGTTCTAGAACCGTAAGGGGCTACGTGCACGATTCACTCGGGAAACCTGCAAAACAAAGTTAATTGTACCACATAATGTCCAAGGTTGGCGTATAGATAGTAAAATAAAAATCAGTCCATTGATGTTTTGGGTGAGAACTTACAATATGAGACTTCCATTCCACTTGGCGTCCCTCGTTTACACCAAACTGAGGTTGCCCCCTGACATGATGGAATATGTGAACAAGGACCGCAGCATCAAGAGCGGCATACTCTTTCTGTAGGAGGCATGCAGATCTCTGTATTAGCGGTGGCACTTCACATCCTTGATAAACAACGTAGAGCACATTTGACCTAGTTTGAGTCACGAATAAAAAACATGCAAGAAAAAAGGTGCCGAGTAGCTCATTTTTCCAGGAAATGTGGCTTATATAAAAAATTATCCTATTAGCCTTCAGATTCCACTAACTTGCAGTTAAAATGTACAAATTTTACCTGAACTAGCTAGCCTTGAGTTGAGTGTATTCGGTGCTTTTCCTATTATTATTATTATTATTTTTTCTCCATGTAAAAAGGGTAAAAATTGCAGCAAGGAAATGTAGTTATTCCCACTAATGCGGTTGACAAGAGAGAGATTAGTCAAATCTAGACAAGAGATCTAGGCCAGCTCATCCTAAACACATGCCGCAACTGACAAAACAAAGTAGGAAAGCTCTGAGGATTCTAAAACTTGATAATGTCCAAATTATTAGAAATCAATCATACAGATAAAGGGGGCACCAGCTCATAAGAATTAAGATCTTTACATGACTGCTTTAAAGAAACATGAGCAAAAAAAATAGTGGGCGAATAACAGACCTGATTCTGGCTCAGAGGTCGCTGCTCCCAGTCGCTATTCCGCCGTGTCTTGTTCAAACCAGCTCCTAATATTTTCTGGCAGTATTTTCGAATATATAAAGGGACATAGCTTGTCATAGGTTCTACGATAGAAAGATGAACAAATCAGCTGGATACCAGCTGAGTGTTGTAGATTTTTTAGATCATAAAATACCTTTGACAATCCAGAGAGACCGCCAGTAGTCTCTTTGAACAGCTTCTGGATATCAAGTAGCATTTCATAGGACTGGAAACATAACAATTCTCCATACGACTGTGACAGCTGATGCAGATCGCATTGCAGGTTATAGCCTATTGTTTGCAATGGGAAAAATGTTAGTTCTTTTCATGCACAAAAAGGAAACGTTCTTACAAGGAAAACAGGCATATGTTAGACAAGGGTAATTGATCATATTAACATAGTACCCAGCTTTAGTATGTTTGATGAACACATGATTCGCCTGAAGCAGCAGTCCAATGCTTTAGGATCATCTTCGTACAGCTTAATCAGATCAAAGATGAAAGCTTTCTTATCTGACGCAATTTGGATGATAGCAACCTGGTCATACAGATGAAACCTGTCAATGGAAGAACTAAAATATGCAGACAGATTAGAATGGGAATCTTCTTGCAGGGAAACTCAAAATATCACTGAAACTTAACAGTAACATAGTAGGCCCAAAAAACATTAGAAAATGATTAGGACCCCAGATGATCGCCTATGACATATTGTCACGACAGATGATGAAGTGAAAGCATGAGCCACTAAATTGATTAATGTGAAATAATTAGCCATTTTATTCAACCATACCTTTTTGAAGAGCACTAGGGGAGGGTTTTGAATTTCCGCATATACTACATCGCGATAAATTTGCATCGTAAGCTTACACTATATTAGGGAGAGCATGGTCATACTAGAACACCAAGCAAACATAGAGGCGGGCAACAATTTGAACTAAGGCATCACTTACCTTATTAGGTCTGCTGCCTTTCTCGTAATTAGGTTTCCATTCGCAATCCACACCAATAATTTTACAAGCTTCAATATAACTTGTTGCACTAAGTAATCCGTTGATCTCATCAACCCAGACAATCTCTTCTAAAATCAATTTCTTCAGCTCTAAGTAGTCAGACTGACACATGACTTCTTCTGGAACTGTGTCATAATAAATACACATCAAGAAGAGAAATGGAACTAGTGGAATAAAGTTAGTCCAGCATATGAAGTGTACTCTTTGTCTCTTTCTAAAACCAATATTCATATTTAGGTCGATAAATTAGGGTGAGGGGGTGATGCTACACAATGGGATACCATCAGAGTGCACTAAAAAAATTACACCCGGGAACATTCGATCAACTGAATTGAATGGCTCACTACTACCAGTTGACCAGAGTCACATGGTATTCGTATGCCATGATCCATGAGAAAGTATTATCCGAAACTAGGATGAATAAAATGCAGAGATTATATCGCCCTCCTTTCGGTAACTTGTATACTGTCTTTGCATCCACCCGGCAGCTTGCATTCGCATTATCTTCAGGGTTGGTGATGCTGCCTCCTCATTTCTTTGTACAAGTGAAAATGCTAATTCTAAATATTTGTTGTTCTTTTATACAGCTCTTATAAGATAAACTAGTTAAGATGAATTGAATAACAAACTCACATGCCATATTTCTCAACCTACACAATCCAAAAATCAATAGTTTTTTATAAATTGCCCCTCAATTTGAAGATTATTGAATTGACCTTTAAATCTGTAGTTTTGCGGAAATGTGTACATTTTTTGCGAAATATACTCTTAATTGAATCATTGTACTGAGTAACTGAGTATTACATAATCCGAAGGAAATATGAACAGGGTATCTTTTAAACAGATAATTCAAGTGTAAAGGTGATTCTAAAATAGAAGCTAGGTGTTAAATACTATACAGAATAGATAGGTGTTAGCTTAATGTTGGATCGATAACATTATAGCTCTATAGAAGTAACCACTAAGAATATAGCTCTGTAGCATAATGTTGGATCGATAACATCATAGGTGTGCTTACCCAAAGACTTGACATAACCTTCAAGAGAGTATCGTTCGCAAAGCTCGTCAACCTTCTCCATATAGCCAGCTTCCATAGCAAGATATACCTGTGCACAACATAACAATACAATCAATTCCTTTTATGATACGCAAAGGTTGCCAGCAAAAGATGTATTCCATTCCATCTAAAGTGTGTAGTTTCAAAAAAAAAGTAGACAAGCA